ATTTTCATTTCTCCGTCCTCATTACGTTCGTATGCATTATCATATTTCACAGCTACTGCCGTTTTAAAGGAAAATTTGATCCAAAGGCAAGCCTTAAAAAGATCATGGAGTTCCGTCTATCAAATGACAGTAACACAAGCTCAGCCTCATTGATACCAAATGAAGGGACAGCTGATGATACCCAAGTTGTAGACACTGGTTATGTATCTGCAGATTCACAAGTTCCAAAGGTCAAGAGATACAGTAAATATCGCAATTCAGCACTTGATCTGATGGACGATTTTATAAATTAGTATTAAAAGCCCAGCATGTTGCCAGCTAGTAAGCTGTGCTGTGCTTAACATTTTTTAACTATCTTTATTGTTGTGTTGTATGCACAAGTATGTAAAATTTGTTTGATTGTTTGCATTATTTTTTTTGTCAAATTTTTTGAAGTTAAGTAATCTTCTTTCTTCTTTGTTTTCTGCCAAGAGTGGAGCCTCTCTGAGCTTTCTTCATTATGCCCTTAAATTGGCCAGACAGCTTTGCCTTTTTCCTAAACCACAAGATATAAAACCCATGCACACACATAACAAGAACACATAAACCTCTTATTGAGATTCTGCCTGTCCAATTGAAGGTAAGAATACGGTTCAAGTTGGTTCTTCTTCTTTACGTCTCCCTTAAGTTTCTAAGCACAATACAATCAACCTGCGAAAATTATTATCATCGTTATACTTTTGATGGTGTTGGTTTGGCTCCTATCTCAATAGTTGGATCATGCCTTCTAATTCCAGTGCCTATTGAGGCATGATATGCATAAATCCTCAAGCAATGAATAGAGCAAATTGGTGAAGTATTGTAGACATCGATCATTACATAAAGTCACTTACTGAACATGTACAATACAATGGTGAATGGTCTTACTGAACATGTACAATACAATGGTGAATGGTCTGTGTGCATGCTCCATACACAATGTACTGTAATGCACATACCACGACTTAAGCCTCTTCCATCCTCTTGATCATCAGAATCATTGTCATTATCATTACCTCTTTTTCTCTTTCTACTCAATACATTTGGGGGCTCAGTGTCTTAAAAATTAAATTATAATCAATAATATAATATCATAAATAATAAGTGTAACTCACCAGTAATATCTTCTTGTACTTGTGACTCATCATCTTCAGTAATCACGAGCTTCCCATCACTTGAATATTTAAAAGAGTTTAAAGATGCTCCAACCGACTTCTTCTTACTTGGATTAGTACCTATGGCCAGATCTTGAAGTCCAGTACACGTACCACTTACCAAGCAAATGTTGACCAGCTGTAGAGTCCAAGAAGTCCAATGGCTTGTCTCGATCTTCTTTTATCCAAGTTCCTCCACTTTCTCGACCTCGTTTAGTCTTAGTTTGACTGCCCTAAGAGTAAAGACTTAAGCTAAAAATTGTAATAATTTTTCTTTACACAATACCTTCTTGATTTCTTCATCATCACTGTCATACATAAGCTCCTCAAAGCTAATAAAACAAAAAATAAAAAACAAATTATGTATATTAAATTTACCTGGGCTTAGAGGACTTTTTGGTGGTACTACTCGAATCATAGTCTTCCTTCAAAGCAGCCATTTTTTCATCTCTCCTCTCCCTCTGTTTTCTTTTCTGTCTCTCATTGGTCTTCTTTATGTTGCTAATGAGTCGCCTGTGCTGCTTTGGTACAAAACCAGATATCATCTCAAGGCTGTAATAAATATAATAGCGTTAAAATAATAACAAGAAATGGCACAATCCTTACTTGAACTTTCTAATGAGTCTCTCAAGGATCACTCTTGACTTCATTCTAAAGTGATTCTTGTCATTAGCACTCCAGGACAGGACCTTCTCTACCTACAAGGACCGGGCAATAAATAGAATATCAATGTCCCCACGTACCAATTCCTTTACATACGGAGCCAGTTCAGCGTGAGGTAGTATACCAATACTAACCTAAAATAATAAAATAAAATAATTTTTTTTACTTTTCTTCCCGACTTTTATAAAAATAAGAGCCGATCGGACAACTTCTCGGGATTTTGCAGAAAAGAATTCTGTCACACTGCTCAGCAATGTCTCGACTAGGCCAGAACCAAGTAAATCTAAAAGAGGGAGATCGAGGACACACAAATTAAATAAATTCTAGTTACCACTAAATTCATAGACTAGTCTTGCTAGGCTGCCAATGGTGGCAGATATCATGTGAGAAGTGCCTGCCAGTCCAGCCAGAACAACATTGAAATACTCTTTCACTGACTCTATGAAGAGAGAAATGATTAGAGGAGACAGAGGGACCTTACCTTCTGGAGATAACATGAACAGCTGTTGCGAGGACCGCCCTAAAACACTGAGGAGTTGATAGGATAACTGCCTACACTTATCATTAGCTTCTTTAGTGCACAGTATAGCCTGATACAAAAAGGAGTGTCATTAAAGAAAGTACAAGTATACACTTACCTCTGGAACAACAGCCAGTACAAAGTCGTGATGATCTGTAGTTAAATGTGGTACTATACTTAAGAGGCACCTGAGTCTTGGCTAGATAAATGACATATATGTACATTTAGTGTTAAAAATTGATTATACTGAGTATTAGTTTCTTTACCTTTTTAGAGCCAATCCCAGCAGTCGATAAAGAGCCTAGTAACAGCGTCTGTAGCTGTGGGAGATTATCAGAGACAAAAGAACTATGCTGTGGAGAACTACAAGAAAGAAGAGCTGCTAGTAACTTGTATGCTTTCTTCTGATATGTACTATTGTCACTCTGAGAGAGAGAGAGAAGAAAAGAAATATAGAAATTAGAATAAGTGAAGTTATTGATACAACATACATCAAGAGTAGCAGAGATGAAATCATAAAGTTCTTTAAGCGAAGATTCGTTCAAAAAAGGGACAAACCCTTCAACAATATCCTCCAGACAAATCCTAATATCTGATGAGAGATCAGGCTCTCCAAGTCTTGCAATAATACGAGAAAATAATGTCTGTAACAACTAGAGGAGAGTGAGAGAGAGAGAGATTTCATTAAATTGATGTCACTTTTTACCTTTCTATTGGTTATTGATAGATATGCTTTTATGGCTTCAAGTATATGCACACTGGAATCCTTTGAGTCCTCATTAGTGTACAAATTGAAAAGAATCGGGAGGAAATTCTTTGAAAACTGACCCAAAACTTTAGAGTCAGATTCTATGAAAATAAATACAAGTCACACATTAATAGAACTACTATAATAATAATTACCGGTTTCTTTACTGGTTTCAATTAGTGTCTTCAGTGAGTTACAGACAATATTTCTAACTTCGACCTTTTCCGAAAGTGCAGTACCAAGAACTCTAGCAATGGAAGGAAAAGATTGAGCAATGTCTGTTGGACTGTTGCAAAAAGCTGTGAGCAGTTGCCAGATCTGGAAAAGAAAAGAAAGAACTTTATTACAAAGTGTTTTAGGACACGCCTCCTAACCTGGTACTCAAGTGTATTGTAAAGTTTTGCTTGAAGATCTTTCCCACTTTTGTTAGAGTCCTCAGCTAATCCTCTCATTACTCCGGCCAATGGAAGGAGCTCTTTAACGTAATAGGAGAGCTCAGCAGATTGTACATACTCTTGCAACAATGGGACCATCCAACTCTGGGGAAAATCAGGAGGATCACTATAAAAAAGAGAAAGAGCTTTATAAAATGATGGTAGTAAGAGAGAGTTAGTTACCCCATGACATCCAGTTTGAGAGGAACGGTTGTTAATACAATCCTGAGAAGAGAATGGAATGTAAAATGAGATAAACGAGTTACTTTGGTCCCATGCTTTTAACAGCTGCTCCAAATGCAGATTCAAGCTGAGAGACAAAGGCAAACTTTGGGATATTCCTCAATTCACTGAACGACTTTAATGACTAGAGAATAAAGACACAAATACCCACAAAATGAATATAAACACACACTAATAAGATACCTTTGTCATAAACTTGTGGCAATCTTTTCCTGCCAGACAATAAAACGTTTCCAAGACCCCCAACACGTGTTCCCAAGCAGACTGATATTTAAAACTAAGAGCCCCCTCAAGCATCCTATATAAAAAAGTAATTAAGCTACCCAGTAATGCTGTGAGCCTGTACTTGAAAACAGATACAAGGGTCGTATATTCCAGCAGTGCCTTCTCATTCTCTTTGCTCTCTCTAATGGCTGGAAGAGCCAGTGGGACCAACTCTTGTAGCATATTCTAATTACAGAAAATTAAAAAAAAAGAAAAAAGAGATAGAGAGAATACCTTCATGACACCAGCTGCATGATTATGAATGGTCTTGCTATCAGAGAGCAAATAGTTCACACAGACACGGAAAAACTTAACCAAGTGACCGAAACACAGGCTCCGATCAAACCTACTCGTACATAACGACAAACGATTACTTGAAATCTTCTTCCCTACTACCTCAATAGTCTAAGATGAGCACTCTCCATTACAGTCGTCCATGCCATCATTAGCTGCACATCAACAATGCTAGGACGATGCTCATATAATGCCTACAATGATCACAAAATTACAAAAAAAACATGGCGGATGACTCAGTTACTGATATTAGTTGTTCATTGAGTTGAGACGTGAGTCCCTGAGGACCAGCTGTAGAAGTAAAGACACCATTTAAGCACTGAAACCCGGTGGCTTTGACTACCTAAATACTATAATCAGGACATGAACTTTGTACTTATTATCTAACAGTTCTTCCTAAAGTAATTAGCCTCAGTAGTGCTTCACTTAAACTCTTAACATTCTTAATAAGCAAGAGAGAAAATAAAATAAATAATAATGGTAGGGTCAGGTTCTACTTGGGTTGGAAAGTTAGCTAGGCATTCTCTTAATAGGCCCAGAACGTGAAGAGTAGAAGTCTCAACCTCTAGTATATAAAACATCACAAGTATACACGTTCAAAATTAAACGTCTCTCACTTTCTCCCTCTAGTATCAATTTACAACTCTTAGCAACGTAAGAGCAACAAGGATGAAACTTGATGTCATTTGAAGCGTCACCTTCTCCTCCTTCCCTTATAATTCCTGCCAGGCCAGCCTGAGCAAACTTACGCAACTAAAAAGTATCATGAACACGTGTACAAGAGAAAAAGAGGTTATGGTCTTACTCTTGGTTTGGGATGAGTCGTGAAATTGAATAAGGTTTGTAGGATTGTTTGAGCAAAACTGTCAGACCAGACGTGAGAGGGTTGAGCTGAAAGGAGAGTAACAAGACACGACACGATCTAAGGGAAAGGATATCAGAGACAAAATGAAAAGGAGAGAAAGATAAAGAAAGAAAGGAAGGGTTTGTGAGTCAAGTATCATGTTAATAGACACTAACTGATCTGAGTAATGATGTTGAATCAGACGATTCATGTTGAGTAAGTGCATCAATCAATGCTTTGCTAATAGAACCAAACTGGGACTGCAATACAGCAGCTGGTAACCTAAGAGACAACTAAATATCAGACAATAGACGGTTAGCGTACTTTTCCATTACAATGCTCAATAAGAATATGACAGCTGTAGCAGCCTTTTCCTCGTCAGTAGCTTCCAATGCAGTCAACTATAAAGCCAATCAGACGACACAGTGTATGTACATGTACATGTAATACAATATGTATCTATCACTTACTAAAGCAGCGAAATATTCAGTGGCACTCTCTGTTCCATTCTTCTCTTTAATGACTTCAGACACAGCTGCTAGTACAGCACATACCTAAATACACACCAGTATATTAATGAACACACTCTTGGCCAAATTTTGTCAAAAATGACTAGGAGACAATTCCCCATTTTTATAATTTTTCCTGATACACATACAAGTTCTTATGTTGTCTAGCAAGTTTGAGCTGATTCCGATAAAATTTGGATTTTTTAAATGAATTTTCAAAGTTACTCCAAAATTGAGCTAAAATCCCTGTACTATAGTACAGGGATCTTGGCCAAATTTCGTCAAAAATGACTAAGAGACAATTCCCCATTTTTATAATTTTTCCTGATACATATACAAGTTCTTATGTTGTGTAGCAAGTTTGAGCTGATTCTGATCAAATTTGGATTTTTTATGAATTTTTAAAGGTACTCCAAATTTGAGCTAAAGTCCCTGTACTATAGTACAGGGATTTTGGCCAAATTTCGCCAAAAATGACTAGGAGAGAATTCTCCATTTTCATAATTTTTCCTAATACATATAAATGTTCTTATGTTGTGTAGCAAGTTTGAGCTGATTCCGATCAACATTGGATTTTTAATGAATTTTAAAGTGCCTCAAAGTCACTTTTTCGCTAAAATGAAGCATGCTTTTTTAGTTTACTTAGCATGCTTAGTGAGAAACCCTGCGTACTTCTCTGTGTGTTTCCAGCGGTGAGTTCCAAAGCCTCTTCACACGTCCAAAGATAGGATTAGAAGTCTCAATAAGACTGTATGCTGAGCTGCTGGCCAGTGACTCTTCCCTTGTCTCTTCTTCTTCTCCCAGCAGCTGATGAGCAGTGTCGTCTGTCTGTACAGCATCATGAGACGCAAGTATATCAACTGTTAGACTTCCTCCTTCTCCTCCTCCAGTAGTAGTAGCCTGTACATACACAAAGTAAAAGAACAATCACAACTAAGAGTCATTCTGATATTAAAATTATTAATTTTTTCAGCATTATTCAAGCAACAAAAACTTTTGAAATTTGCCTCACTTGTGACAAATGGTTCCCAAATTTTCCCTTGGCAGCATTACGATGCACGTCAGTCTGTGGATTGCTGGACCCACTCTGTCCTCTTTTCCACCTCTTCCCTCCCTTGGAGCCTTTTAAACGAACACGACCAGCTTTACCCATACTTCTGTGCCAAGAGAGGGGGACCACGTGGTAAAAGGTGATGTGGGCGTGATCAATTAATTAAATTAGTTAACAATAACTATTATTAAAAATTAACAAATGTCAAACAGTATTATCTCAGTATAATTACAAACATAAAACTTTTTATTGATTCCTGCAAGTTGATGCAGGAGCCACTGGCATTTCAACAGGTGTCTCACTTAGAATACCAACAGTATCCGACAGCTGGTACTCAAGACTTGCACGTCTTTCGGCAAAAATTTCGGCAAAATCTGAAAAAGTTCTGTCATCAATGGCACAAATAATGACCTCACGAAGACTGTTGTCCCCCAGGTAGTCGTAGTCAAGCACAGCTGCAATGATAGCATTTGCCGCCAATTTCTTATCAACGTGATGGTGACCGGTACCAAGTGGGGGTATAGCAATGGAGAATGCTCCTATTTTATCAGCTTCTTTAAGACAACTGGTAACAAGGCCTCTCATTTTATCCTGAAGAGCTGGGGGAGAGTATTTAGCACCGTCAGGACTCACTGCATGGAGAACCCACTGACACTTCAGCTCTCCGGCAGAACGGGTTCTTGCTATGCCACACTCATCCAGAATCCCATTCTGTCTTATGTACTCGTCACATATTGACTGCATCTTACCGCCACTAGCTGCGTTAAGAGCTCTTGCTAGTCCAGCACTATGGCCTAGTCTCCTATTTGCAGCATTTACAAGAACTGTCACAGGCTCTTTTGTTATGTCAGTCTTCTTCAGTAGAAGCTTTCGACAGCCTGACATGTAAATGGTGTGTTTTAATTCTCTCTCCCAGTTCTCCTTTGCTTGTTTGAGGATTGCTGGCTGTAGGGCCATGACTTGCAAGGCATTAAGGTCCTGGATGACACTGAAATGACACGTGTTGTAGTTGCTGTTGTATACTTCGAGTTTCTTTTCCAGCTCATCCCCAGGAAAGCAAGACGGTATGGCTAAAAAATCGACGCAAAGGTTGGAGGAGTTTGCAAGCTTTTGGTAATTAGTGAGAACAGAGCGAATCCTAGAAGGCAGAGCGTCCGTGTTAGCAATGACAGTAATGTCACCAGGCTCTGGGGTATTGTACATGACAGCTCTTAGCTCTCCTAATTCATTTTTGCTTAAAAGAGCAACAATGTTAGGATCAAGGCCTCTAATTACTTTTCCTTCATTTCCGGGATCATCAAGAAATGTCATTCTTCGAGACGACGCTTCTTTATCTTGCACTGCTTTTAGTTCTAATTCAATCTGAGCAAATTTGAACCTCTCAGCTTCAAGCTCAGCTTCTCTTTCTTTCAGCTGTGACTCAAGTTCGCTTGCTTTCTCTTTATACGCCTCTATCTCTTTTGCTGTCAGAGTAGCCAGTTCTAACTCTTTCTCTTTTTCTTGGAGAATGGCGTCCTTTTCTCTCAGTCTTTCTTCATGCGTAGTGATTTCCTTACGCAGCAATTCAACATCAGGAGGAATTATACTGTCGCCAGTAGCAGCTGGGGTTTGATTTGAAACAGGAGGCACATCTAAAGGACTCCCAGTACTCGCTTGTGACTCAAGACGTGTTTCTGATAATTTGCTCTCAATATATTCCGATACCATTTTCAGTTTTTCCAAGTGTTCGCATATCTCGGACGTAAACGGCCTATTATGAGGAACGTCTTCAATGCAATGCAACATGAGTGGACGGAGAATGTGACTCTCATTAAATGTAGCAAGGTCTTGAGAGCGTCTCTCTGTCTCTTTTACAGGCATTCTCACAAACCCTGTCGGCGAGGTGGGATCCTCGAGCTGTACCTCAGCCGGAGAAGGACAAGGGAAGCGACAGGACGCCATTTGTATTAGGAGGACTCCAAAAGAAAAGACGTCAAGTTTCTCAGAGTAGTTGGTACCTTGAGAGAGAGCCTCGGGCGGCATGTACACGGGAGCACCTGGACATTGAGTCATGTGCTGCCCTGCTGCGTCATGAAGCTTAGAGACTCCAAGATCAGTTATCTTGGCTCGTATGCGTCCAAGCAAAAGTACGTTGTTACTGGAAAGGTCCCTGTGAATGATCCCATTGTTGTGTAAGTAATAAAGAGCAAGGGATATGTCGTGAGAGAAGTCGATCATGAGATGCATTGGGACTGGGTTGTCCTGTGGGTGATAGCCATCAATGAAGGAGGTGAGACTCTCGTCCATCAGTTCCATAACGAGTGCAGTCTCACCCGCCGAGTTAGTGAACTCTCCCAAGAACTGAACTATGTTTGGATGCTGCAGAGAGGAGAGGAGCTCGCATTCAGATTTGAATTTAGCAATGGTGTCCTTCACGGCCGGATCAGAACTAGCAAAGAACATGGGGTGAAGGACTTTGGCGGCACAAACCAAGTGATCACATTTGGCTCTATAGACAGAGCCATATGCTCCACTGCCCAGGGACTCCTTGAAATATATCTCTACGCTTTTAAAGTTGAAGTGCCTGTTGACGGCCATGTTAAATCAATAAATCTTGTACTAGATCTATTTGGGGTGTGGCTCGTAAAAAATAAATTATGATAGAATGGTAACTGAAAATTGAAAAAAGGGCAACAAATATTGACAATAAAAATAAATAAACATCACAAAAATAAAACTGACCAAACACATTTGATGTGTGAGATTGAAATGTATGACAACTGAAAATGATAAAGAAAATCAAAACTAGCTTGGTTTGCACGAGTCGCTTGTTACTCCGTGATCTGAAGAATTATTGGAATCTAAAACAGGAGCAGGTTGGCTCCCAGATCTAAATGGTTTTGGACTTAAATTCTTACATTTTTTTCTAGAAGACAGTGCAAATGGTTCAACAGATGAGAGATTTAAAAAACATTCCACAAAGTTGAGAAAAATATTTTCCTTCAAAACGATAACTCTAATATCAGTCAGTAGGGAAGAGGAGGAGAAATTGAAGCTTGTCACACCCCTAAATATACCAGAAGCACAAGTAGAAGGATCAAGCATCAGACTACCTGTACTGATCGCAGGAATAGCTATGGATTTGACTTCTAGTTTTTCGGCCTTCTTTAATATTTTATGAGTTAGTGACATCATTTCTTTCACTGTGTCTGCATCCATCTCGTCATTGTCAATAAATAAACCAGCAGGACCGGTTGCATGTAAAATCCAGCTGCACTTTAGAGACCCTCCGGCCTTAGTACATGCTACAGATCCAAGATCAATAGCTCCGTACTTTGAAATGTACTCGTCACAATGTTTCTGAACCTCAAAACCACTTGCTACATTAATGGCTGCAGATATGCCCCAGGTGTGTTTCAACGAGCAATTTGCAGCACTAACAATAATCGATACATCTTCAACTGTAATGTCGCCTTTTTTCAATGTTAATTTCCTTCCGCCTCCCATGTCTTTTATCAAACTTAACGCCTCTTTTAGAAGCTTCATGTTTGAACTGTGAATAGATGGTGTTTTAGAAATGATTTTTATAACACCGGAGAGTTCCATGTGTTCATAGCAACTGGGCTCCGGTCTTTTGTGAAAAACTGACAAGAGCTTGTTGATCTTTGAGACAGGGAATGAGGCTGGAATGTGAACAAAGTCGACCCTCAGTTCGCCAGAGTTGAAAAAATGTTGATAAACTTGAAGAAAAACCCGCATGGACTGTCTGTCACCTTCATCTGTGTCTGTAGTGTAGAATAATACCTGGCCCTGTTTCGGCTTGTAGGCCAAGTTAAATACGTGGGATTTCCTATCATATGATATAACTTGTAACACTTCAGGACTGAGTGAATCAATTGTCATTGGAGTCGTTTTATTCTCTGATTCTTTTTTGGACTCCCACTTTGCCTTTTCTTTCAAAAGTTCACTGCACTCCTTTTCTTTCTCTAGCAGCTGTTCCTGGACTGTATGCAGTTGCTCTTCTAAATGAGCCACTTTATCGCGTGTTATTCTAAACTCCAATTCTCTCTCCTCCTCTTCCTCTTTTAGTCTCTTCTTTGATAGATCAATCAACTTCTCTTGGAAATTACTACTGCTATTATCTTTACTCTCTCTGTAAGCATCAGAAGTCTTCAAGTCCTCCAATATCTGGCAGAGTTCTGTTGTGCTTGGCCTTAGCTTCTGCTTATCCTCTAGGCACTGTAGGATTGTCTCTTTTAGAGGATGATTAAGAGGAAGGAAAGAAATGTCGTCTTTGCGTCTGTCATATTCAGAAACTGGTAGTTTCATAAAGCCAGTGGGTGATCGGTCATCCTCTACAAGTAACTCCTGTACTCCTGGATTAGGTTCCCGACAAGTCACCATTTGAAGAAAGAGAACGCCCATCGAAAACATGTCTAGCTTTTCAGTATACACGGGTGGCGTGAGCCACGCCTCAGGAGGCATGTACACAGGACAACCGGGTACCTGAGTGAGGGAAATACTACGAGGGAGAAAGGAGTCACACTTCGTGCCAAAAAGGAGCTTTGACATTCCGAAATCCCCGACCTTTGCTAGGCGTTGACCAAGCAAGAGAACGTTGTTGCTGGAGAGGTCACGATGAACGATCCCATTATTGTGAAGGTAGAGCATTGCTAGCGTAATGTCGTGTGCAAAATCCAGCAGAAGGTGAAGGGGTAAGAGTTGATCAGCCCTTTTTTGAAGGAAGGTAGTCATGTTCTCGTCCATTAGTTCCAGTAGGAGGGCAATGCTCCCACTTTTAGGATCCGTATGGAGGCCCAAGAACTGGACTATGTGTGGATGACGGAGAGAGGCGAGGAAGGAGCATTCCTGCACAAACTTTTCAGCAACCCAGCTATCTGATTGTAGACTAAATGTGGGATGAAGGAACTTGGCGGCACATGGAAGACGGTCACACTTTGCTTTACAGACTGCACCAAAGGCCCCACTCCCCAGTCTTTGTTCGTTGTATATCTCGACGTCTTTGAATCCGTACCTATCTATGCTAATCAGTGAAGAGTCACTGCCTTGTAAAGAACCGGGAGAAGACGACAAGGAGGCCATTTTATGAGATCTGTGCTATAGGTGGAGCTGAGCACGGCTATATAATGGGTAGGTGTGGCTCATCAGCAGAAAAGCGCGAGCCGTTTCTTTTTCCTGGTATCTTATGCTCTCTGCTTTCCCCATTCTTTCACTCTTCAGGTATTCTAGCTGCACTTTACTCTAATATCTATGTTAGTTTGCATGAATGTTTTAAATTACTATCCTTTACCATCAAACATTAGATATCTACATAATTACAGTTTTAATTCAACAGGTTTATTTACGTTTCTATCAAGAAGGATTTTGGCTGTTTTAAAATGGAGGGCGAGATTTGAACTGGACCGTGGTAGCTGCTGCTGAATAAAGGTCCATCTAAACTTATGGCGTCTCTCAGCAACAGAAAGAGAGGGACGGTGACTTCTAATGACTGTGGTAAAGAGAAACAATCCACTTCACTAGAAGTAGTTTCGTCAGAGAAAGGTACGGCAGGTGAAAGACTACCAAGGGCAGCAAAGAGAAGAAAGAATACCACCGATTCGACAAACCAGACAACAGAAATCACCTCTCTTCCTCAAAAAATAAGTAATGTGTCCCGTGTCTATGAGAAAGGACAGGTTTGTCCTTATTTGACTCCATTTTCTGATTAGGTGTCAATCAACTTGAAAGTGTACCAGAATCAAGCAACACTAATAACAGAGCCTCATCAAACCGTCCCGTAAAGAGACAAGCATGGACTTTGGTTGCCATCAACTCTTTCTTTGAAGGACTAGCAGAAGTAAGAGAAAGGGCATTAAAGAAATGACACCTAATTTACATTCTTTATAATAAAAATATATAATAATATATCCCTCTTTAGCATGGAAAGGCATTTGAGCGTATTTTGACTTTCATGCAAAAGAAGCAAAATAAGAAACAGACTGATCCTTCGATAAGTAACCTAGGAAGAAACCAAGTGAGCACTCATTATATATATACTTGTACTCTTAATTAACCCACAATATCCCAATCATCATTAAAATGTTATTGTAACAAAGAGTAAATGAGATGTGACCTATAACTATCCCCTAGGTTCGATTCTTTTACTACAGAACCTGGCACAAAGTCTCTACGATTCTAATTAAAGCTCAGAAAGAACTCGAACTTCAAAGCCCAAGTAATGGTTGCTATGACAACGAAATTGAATGACAATAACTAATTTGATTTCTACGATAGACAAAGGTGGGATAGCTCAAGCTCCTTCTTTAGCAAAATCAAAGAAGGTCAAAGTGAACTCTGACGATGAAATCGAAGGAGAAATGACAGAGGGAGATGTTCCCTTTGACACCTCTCTTGATGAAGGTAACAAAACCTATTACATTTATTATTATTATTATTATTATTATTATTATTATTATTATTATTAATCAAAGGGGAGGAGCTTGCAGATAAGCCCCTCCTACCTACAATAGAAGAGGAGACGACCTCGTCTTTATTACAAGACACTGCTTCTCCTTACAACAATCCCAGCTCTGTAGAGGCCGATATAGAGTGTGATAAAGATACTCCTTCTGTTTCTGGCCCTGCAAGGCTCGGCATGGCAGGCACTACCAGTGACAGCATTAGTCAAAATGACTGTATCCTTTATTCTCATCCACCTCCTCTTGGGAATGAAGTCACTGTTGAGACAGAGAAGGTTATGACTGTCAGTAGCAAGTCAGACAAGAAGAAAGAAGCAAGTTACCCAATGGTGAAGGCAAACGGAGAGTGGCACTCACTGGACCTGGTGGCTATGCTCTGCTATAGCAAACTGAAACAGAAATACAAAGGTTAGCAGCAGCTACTGGTATTGTTATGTGTCCATTATTAATAATAATAGGTGATCGCTCATCATTTGGCAAGAAGCTTCATGAGCTTGTTTATCAAGGGTTAGTCGCTATGATTATTATATGTACATATGTAGTACTGTATCTTGGAATTCCTCTTTAATGTGAAGACTGGTTGAGTATATTGTATGCCAATATTGCTATGTTTATACTGTGGTAGTACATAGATTTTTTATCATAATAATGTGTATTATTTATTAATAGGAATACTACAATTAAGATTAAAGGAAAGAGAAAGATACAATACACGTGAGTACTCCATTATTCTTGATAGCTGCTATTGCCCCCCCCCCCCATAGACTCAAAATACCAAACTGTCCAGCATTAAGGACTAACACAGCAGCTCCTGCTTGTAACAAGAACCAACCATCAGGTCAGTTAGTGCATAAAGATTTAATAATATATTATTATTGTAATGGTTATACCATAGAGAATACAAGAATGAACGACTTGTAAGTTCAGGCTGTGTTTGGGGTAGATATACCATTGTAATTGGCATTAGTAGTTAGTTCCCATTCTTTTCTCATAGTCCTGAATCAACAGACTCTTCAACTCTTACTATTCAGCTCTTGCCACTCAATTCTAATACTTGGGAATATGTCCAGTCCCTCTCTATAAACCCAAGACTACGGTATTTAGTCACATTACATAGTCCTCTATTTCTTCTCCACTCCTCTCATATAGCTTGACTATCCCTTTAACAAGAACAGTTGGTGAATTACTTGAATTTGTTGGAGAGAAGTGGCATCTTGTATCCATTATAATGATAACAGCATGTCAACATTAAAATTGTATAATAAGAACATTAATTATCTGAACTGTGGTCTTGCTTGCCTGGGTACTAGACTATTATAGTTGGTTTAGACACCTTTGTAATCCTTAACTCCACATGTCCACAGCCTTTGAAAGGTGTTTTTCAGTTAATTAGACTCTACAAAACGTCAGAGCTTCCTGCAATGCCAGATGAGCATTCACCTTTATCACTGACAGCAGAGATGACTGTTAGACAGCTCAAAGACATGGTACTGAGTACAGTAGTGTAATATAAACTTTTAGTACCAATCTCTCATTATGCAGGTAGCAGACGAAAGTCATAAACATAAGATTTCATTGCAGTATGATCTTTCCCATCACTCAGATGTATGTGTAACCTGTCATAATGTTTACTCTTCATTATTTTGTGTTTATTTTATATAGTCTCTAATGACAAATCGTTCTGGTTCATCATTTCTAATGGCTTTGTTGGATTTCTTTCAATCCACTAATGCCAGTCCGGTCCCCTCCAGCCCTAATGTTCCTCATCAGTCTCCCCATCTCTCTCAGTCTACTCCTTGTTCATCTCCATCTCATTCTATCCTCACATCAGTAGCTACCACAGCAACACCTCCTGCTCCTATTTCTATTCCTCCCTCTCCTTCTCCTCCTCCTCTACCTCCTCCAGTTGTTTCAGTGCCTCCTCTTTCTCTCCCTCCTCCTCTTCCTCCTGCTAAAGAGCAGATAGCAACTGATGCTATCATTCCTAGTAGTTCTGCTCCAGTCAATACACATGCAGCTACCACTCCACCTCCTGTGGTGCCTTTTGGTGTAACTACATGCAGTCCTCCTAATCCAAAGAAAGCTACTCCTTCTCGTAGCTGTTCTACTCTTGTATTTAGTCCAACTGTGCGTCAGTATTGGGAGTCCATTTCAAAGAAAAGCCCCCTTCGCTCTGTATTGAAGTCTCCGCTACAGAAATATAAGAGGCTTAGTAGGACTTGTCTTACTAGCCCTAACTCGAGGAACTCTCACCATCAAATCAGGAAGCCTGTCAAGAGGACGCGTCTTGATTTTTCTGATATTTCAACATCGAGTGCCACTGCTAGTACACCACCTTCCTCATCAAGTGCTGTGACCAGGAGCCAATCCTCAATACAGCCAAAGCAATCAACTGTCACTTCTTCTTTAGGTTTGCAAAAGCTTCCTTCAACAACCAAACAAAAGCACCACCAGTCAAGAATAGCCCCTGTTGTCTATGACCTAACTTTTTGCAGGAAGCAGCAAGAGAAAGGTTTCTCATTGGTGAGGCTAAACAATGAGAAAGCAAAGCAGTCAAATGCCCAGAAACCAGAAAAGCTTCATCATCTAGTGACTGTGCCAAAAGCGACTTTCTCTACTGGTTCTTTTTCGACTGTGAGACTCTCAAATCTCCTCCAGTCGGTGCAGGAGAATCTAAAAGACTCTGAGTCAAATCCAAAACTGATTCAACCAGTTACCAGCTCATTGCCTACTCCTACAGCTAGCAGTGGGGTTAATGCTATTGCGAAAACTCCTGTAACAAAAGCAGTCACTTCAGTTGTACTACAGGATATAGCATCACCCAGTGAACTCAAAGATGCAATAATGGCAACAACAAAGACATCCAAAGAACATGCTCCAGCTGCAGTGACAAAAGCACAGACTTTAGTATGTCCCCCTCAACCTCAGTCTTCTGTTGTAGATCCGTCTCCATTGCAACTTTATGCATCTCAGGTTGCTTCATCACAGCAGTCCAAGCCACCAAGTACCAATGTGTAAGATATATGTAACTGACCTTTGTGTGTGGTATTTTGTCAAAATTGCTAAGAGAGAACTCATTTCCTTGATGCATATACATGTTTTAAAGTTGTATAGCAAGTTTGATAAGAGTAGGTTTTTTTAACGAATTTTTAAAGTTGCTCAAAAATCAGGCCAAAGTTCCTGTACTATAGTACAGGGATTTTGGCCACATTTTGCCAAAATTAAAAAGGAGAGAATTCTCCCTTTTTATAATCTATTCTGATGCATATACATGTTTATATGTTGTGTAGAAAGTTTGAACCGATTCTGATCAAAATTAGATTTTTTTACAAATTTTCAAAAGTTTGAAAAAAAAGAAACACTTGTAATATTAATTTTTTTTCAAATAGCTGTGTGACTCCATTGTCATCCTCAACAACAGTTGTGACAGCCAGTGCACCAATGACCACCAGGAACTCTCTCCTAACAACTTACCTTGACAGGAAATTAACAAGACGAAGAGCAATATTAAATCCTTCATCAAAACACTCTCAGGTAAGAAAAAAGTTGACATAAGCAATTATACTTGTATTTTCCTTGCATCATAGAGACCAGTTATTCCCAAACCTTTGCAATATTTTTCAAACCCAGAGATGGTGAGTTTAATGTCATCTCCACCAAACAATGTAGCAACTCCTTCAATTGGAGGATTGACTCCAATGTCTCTTCTGATGAGTTCTCCTACAAGCAGTAACACTTCAACTTCACTAACACAGCAGCAATATGGTGCATCATTGACTTCTCCCTCAAGCTCCTTAGCCACTGCTAATAAATACTTGACTCCTCGACATTCAGTTGCTCCTAATCCTGGATCAATAACTAATGAAACACTTAGTACTTCAGCTTCTGCTCTCTTGAATTCAATTTTACCTCCTCCTCCTAGGTCTTCTCTTCCGCCTCCATCTCTCCCTCCTTCATCTTTTCTTTCTTCTCTTCAAAAAGCTGAGAGCCCCTCATCAACTGCATCAGTTTCAACAGGAGTCCCTCCACAGTCCCTCAATCATCAGGCATTGCAGGAGCAATTGACCAGCCTCTTGCTTAACATGCTCATGTCTCAGCAGCAGCAAATGAGACTCCCTCTGCAGCAACAGCAGCAAGTTCAGGCTGTACTCAACTCACTGACTCCTTCAGTGAGTATTCCTAATGCTAGCAGCACTACTGGTAGTTTTAGTACCAGTACCAGTCAAGTTACAACAGTACCTGCTAAAGGGATAAAGAATCCTCCAGTGGTGACATTACCTAGTGCTGTCAATTCAGATATTCCATCAGTACTGGAGGAGATTCCATCATCATCAGTGTTGCCCCAAATTAGTATGGACAGTGTTCAGACTTCAGATACAGTCAATGAGCTATTACGAGGCTTAACTTCCAGTGATCAACAAGAGCAGCAGTCACTAAAGAGACTCTCTGAAGAAACTGTTGATGTACTGCCAACATTTGCCAGGGCCATGATGCAAATGTCTTCATCTGCTCCACCAACCAGTAGCACTGCACCAGTGACTGCTAGCACAGTGGAACAGACTGGACCCGCACAAAATGAAGAGTTCCTCTTGTCTTCAAAGCAGCCTCCACTGTTAAGTGATGAAGGGCATATTTCCAATGATAATAGTTTGATGCAGTTAATTAATGACGAGGAACTGGTCAACAATACTTTCAGTGATTCAAGTTTGAAGCATATAATGGAGAATGCTGATTTTACTGACATGTTTTCTCAGCTGCGTGATATACTAAAGACTCCTGACAAGAGATCGAGTGGATCGGCTAGTTTAAACAGCAGAGAAGAAAGCAATAGGACAAGTCCTTCTTCAATGCTACCACCACCACCAGTGGTATCTCAGTCACAGTTAGAGAATGCAGAAGCACCTCATAGAGAAGTATCAGGTAAAAAAATTATGAATAAGTAAACTTATGTCAATAAATAAAACCCGTATTGTTTTGTAGACATTTTCAATTCACCTTTTAAAATAAGATCACACAATGAGGTATGGTTTGTTTGATACTATAAATGCTTATATTTTTTGGCTTTTTTATTATCATCATAGTCTACAGCAGTCAGGACATTGCTTGAAGACACCAGTGTTGATTATATAAATAAGTTTAGAGAGATGGCATCGGCTATGAGTCAAACTGCCTCTCAACCTGATTTCAATCATGCAACCTCTTCTTCATCAGCTTCATCATCATCATCTTGATTATGACTGGACTCAGTGCAGTGTTGATTTTGCTTTCCTTTGTGTTCAAAGAACCGTTTGTCATTCACTTAACATTTATTTATGTTGACATTCATTTATGGAAAGATTTTTACTCAGTTGTCATTAAAGAGCTAATAATTTGTTAAAGTAAAAGTGCCCCCAAAATTTGAGCCTATAAGTATGCGTGGGCGTGCTTATAAAACGGAGATGTACGAAGTAGAGTTACAGACTCCATCCAGTATCCAATTAATTTACGGTCTTTGTAAACTAATCCCGTGCTTGAGGACAGAGGAAAGGAAGGAGTATTCAGCCTTGAAGAAAGCATGTCGCTCATTGACTTTGGCATCGATGAGTACTCGCAGAGAGCAGCAGCTACAGAACACAAACTAGCCGTCACTAGGGACTACATATCGCAGCCTAGACTGAGTAAGTGTAGAGGGGGCAACGCCTATTTTGTGTTTTAATATCACTTCTCGTTATTTGTGATTCTTTTCTCTTAGCATACAGGACTGTGTCCGGCGTTAACGGGCCTCTGGTTATCCTCGACCAAGTGAAGGTTTGTAAACTGAGAGAGATTATGCATCATACTGTAGATCCAATGCAAGTTCTACTTTTTATTAGCCCCTCCCTCAATTCTCAAAGCCTGTAATATATTTTTATGGTCAATTTTAAATCGGAACAGTACTATTGACCAGGATTCAAAATAGGCAGACCAGTGAAGAAAACGTCCACCATTTTATGCATGCTTGATGACTTACGTCTGCAAATTGTCCAGTATTAAATTCGTCATTTCCATTAATTTTGTTAGTGACATTGCTCCAGTAGTAACCTTTTCTGTGTCATTAACTGACAGAATAAGTCTTAGCTAATAAAATGAATTGGCCGATTGGAAGATTGTTTGGTGAAAGAAATAGTTTTAATGCGTATGTGTGTGTGTGTGTGTGTGTGTTTAATGGGAAGATGTATGGAATAATCGATATCCATGTTCACACTTTCATTCATCTAGTCAATATATCTTGTGTGATTAAATAGGTATACATTGTTCGTATTTTCTTTCTCATGCATCATCATCTTCTTCTTGTTTTCCCCTCCTTTATAGTTCCCTCGTTTTGCTGAAATTGTTACCCTCACACTTGCTGATGGCAGTAAACGGAGCGGACAGGTCTTAGAGGTGAATGGCTCAAAGGCTGTAGTACAGGTACACATGTTACACTATCATTTCTCATTGGCAGCGATTCACTTTTACAAAGACATCAATAGTATATTTATTAAGAGATTTGTAATAAAGATGCATCGGCTTGTTTATACATATGTTTTAAGAATCTGTTTGATACAGATTCTGTATCTGTATATGTACACATAAACAGATTCTATATTTGTATCTGTATACATAATTTGATTCTGTTTTATGTGTGTGACTGTGCTGTGTAGGTATTTGAAGGTACATCAGGTATTGATGCCAAGCACACGACGTGTGAATTCACTGGAGATATATTGAGAATAGCTGTGTCAGAGGACATGTTAGGTGAGACATGGCAAAGATGTACACACACATACAATTTAACTAACTGTACATTTAGCATCGCATAGGGATTTTTTTAATAATTATTATTTTGCTGTTTTTATTATTGCTCTAATACTGCTGCTATTTCAGGTCGTGTTTTCAATGGATCTGGTAAACCAAAAGACAAAGGACCTTCTATTTTAGCTGAAGATTTCCTTGACATTCAAGGTTAGAACTATAAAAAATAGAATTCTTTTAAAAATTTTTAAAGTAATCCAAAAATTGAGCCAAAGTCCCTGTACTGTAGTACATGGATTTTAGCCAAATTGTGCCAAAAATGACTAGGAGAGAATTCTCCATTTTTATATTTTTATCTGATACATATACATGTTCTTATGTTGTGTAGCAAGTTTGAGCCGCTTCCAATCAAAATTGGATTTTTTATGAATTTTTAAAGTTTCTCAAAAATTGGGCCAAAGTCCCTGTACTGACAGGGATTTTAGCCAAATTTTGCCAAAAATGACTAGGAGAGAATTCTTCATTTTTATATTTCTATCTGATACATATACATGTTCTTATGTTGTGTAGCAAGTTTGAGCTGATTCCAATCAAAATTGGATTTTTTTACGAATTTTTAAAGTTACTCAAAAATGCTTGTCAGCTAACTTAGCATGCCTTGTGGGAAATCCTGCATTCATTTCTTCCTTTATATGTGTATACATGTGCATATATATCTCTTATTAGGTCAGCCCATTAATCCGTGGTCCCGTATTTATCCTGAAGAAATGATCCAGACTGGTATTTCTGCCATTGACACAATGAACAGCATCGCCCGTGGCCAAAAGATCCCAATCTTCTCAGCTGCTGGTTTACCTCATAACGACGTAATAACAACTGAATGACCATGCCTATCAATCAACCCTTTTAATTAATATATTTTTGTAGATTGCAGCTCAGATCTGTCGTCAGGGTGGTCTGGTGAAGCTCCAAGAAGCTGAACATAAAGGAGTCCTTGACGATCATGAGGACAACTTTGCTATTGTGTTTGCTGCTATGGGAGTAAGCTGAATGAGCCAACAAGTTCCATTAGTATATCTCAATAGGTGAACATGGAGACCGCTAGATTCTTCAAGCAAGATTTTGAAGAGAATGGATCTATGGAGAATGTGTGTTTGTTCTTGAATTTGGCCAACGATCCAACGTATGTCATTAATAATAATAATAATAATAATAATAATAATAATAATAATGATGATATTCCTTCTCTCTTCTCTTAGTATTGAGCGTATCATTACTCCACGTTTGGCTCTTACTACTGCTGAATTTATGGCCTATCAATGCGAGAAGCACGTTCTAGTTATTCTCACTGACATGAGCTCTTACGCTGAGGCCCTGAGAGAAGTAAGTACTTGTAATATACTTAGCAAAATAAATATGTACTGTGTTGTCTGATATTTTGGGGGGCTAGAGTAACAGTCATAGTAGCAGTAACTTTACTATTTTCTTATAAAATAATTCTCTTATTTTAGGTGTCAGCTGCTAGAGAAGAGGTGCCAGGTCGACGTGGTTTCCCTGGTTACATGTACACTGATTTGGCGACCATATATGAGGTTTGTAAGAAGGTCCCTTGTCATGATATAACCATATTAACTATGTGCATCTTCTTTAGAGGGCTGGCAGAGTTGATGGAAGAAATGGCTCTATTACACAAATCCCCATTCTAACTATGCCTAACGATGGTAACATATAAATAATAAAATGACACTTTTATTTCATTCCTCTCTCTCTCTCTCTCTCTCTCTCTCTCTCTCCAGATATTACTCATCCTATTCCTGATTTGACTGGCTACATTACCGAGGGTCAGATCTATGTTGACAGGCAGCTGTACAACAGGCAGGTCTACCCGCCCATCAATGTCCTTCCCTCTCTCTCTCGTCTCATGAAGTCTGCCATCGGGGAAGGAATGACAAGACGTGATCATGCTGAGGTCTCAAACCAGCTGGTAAGTTACGCTCACTACATGTACACTATTTTTTTGCCTGTTATGTACATGTACATGTACACTAGTATGTACATTACACTAATGCTGTGTTGTTTATTCATTTATTCATCAATTTAGTATGCTAATTATGCTATTGGTAAAGATGTCCAGGCTATGAAGGCTGTGGTAGGAGAGGAAGCATTGTCACAGGATGATTTGCTCTATCTTGAGTTTCTGCAGAAATTTGAAAAGAATTTCATTACACAAGGTACTACAAAAAGACGCTACCACTAATCCTATGATTGATGACATGGCTTTCATTACATTGTGTCTCTCTCTTGCCTTTTCTCTTTAGGTGTTTACGAGAACAGAACTATATTTGAGTCTTTGGATGTGGCTTGGCAGCTGCTACGTATTTTCCCTAAACAGATGCTCAACAGAATCTCACAGTCTGTCCTTGACGAGTATTATGCAAGAGATTCTCGACGATAAGATTAGCAAAATGACTTTTTTGATTTACCGACTTGCTGGATTTTTTGTGTAGATTATTAAATTGTTGTTGTTGTTGTTTTGCTGTCATAGGAAACATCATACCAACTGATATTATTATTATTAATTTATTATTATTATTGTTGTTATAATAGCACTTTTGTGTGCTATTGTGTGTGTTTTGTAGATTTTTGTTATAATTAAAACTAGATATTAGTCTCAGGAGCAGCTTAATGCAGAACCAGTCATTTCTTAGCTGTTATTGATGTATTCTTTAGCCCAATCTAATCCTTCTTCAATGGTGCCTTACATGATAAAGCAAGAATGATACAAATGTTTCATAATGTTTCTCTTAAAATACTTCTGGGCGTGTATTCGGCTCCCATCCAGCCATCGAATCTGAGTCTTTCCAGAGTTTTGAATACAAATGGACAGTTTATCTCACCCTCCAAGTCCGGCTCATGTCTGCCAGGAACTTGAGATATCTGAACGTGACCTTATCAAGTGAGAGACTGAACACAGCGAAGGTCAGTTCAAGATATCCTTACCTACTATATCAATGTTCTTTTCTAGAAACTCGCAGAGATTTCCACCATTCCTTTGAGCATGATAAAAATCCTATTATGACAAAAGGCCGTCCTGATACTTTTTAAAGGAACTCTTACAAATTGTAACTTGACATTGTCTTTCTTTAATTCTCTGATGTAATCTGCAGCTATTGATAGAACACATCATCAATGAGGTATTTATTAACACACAGTACCTTGTTGCTGATACTGTAAGAAGACATTAGGTATTGTACTGAGAGGTTCAAGTGTCAGAATGATACCTTTCTATAAATAAATAATTGGAACTAGCATAAGGCAAGTTAGCTCATATGCTACTTACAGGAGAGCAAAGATCTGCAGCATATGACACGTTTGAAAGGTATGTAGATCGAGCTGCTTGCCATTCTGGATTAGACCAATCCATAGGAGTAGAGAGAGAGCCAGGGCTAAGATGAATCCTAACGTTATACAATAGAGAAACTTTGTCAATGCAATTCATGATATAAACACCTTGGACAGTCCAGTGCTGTAGCATAGTCAATAGCCAAATCGAGCGACTCTTTAAATTCACTTTCCTTACCGGGTAGAGCTGTCACTTCTAAAGAACATTAAAAAGTTTTTAAAATTCCCAATGGATTGCCATGCACAGTATGCTCCACCCACAATTTCAGCAATGTTATTTCCTGTTATTTTTTATACCTCATGCTATGTATGGATATATGTATTTACTTTTTGGCATGTTTATGAGGATCACTTTGACGTTTGCTTTCTCTTTTGCTTGTACCAGTACATCTTTATCTACCTCGTATATGTCATTAGTGCATTCAACTGCTTTGAAACCTTGCAAACACACACAGGGCAGCTTGTTTAGCATACAAACTCTAGGAGTTATGGACTCTCACCACATTTTGCTGCTGCTTCAAATCTTTCCAAAAGTGGCTTGTCCTGAAAAAGGAAGCCCAAGTTGGCTGATAGTTTGAGTGGCATCCTCTATCAAAAAAACAGGTGTGGTTGTGCCTAGATCTAGGTGTGGCTCAATTTAATCTTTGCAGTTTGCAGCATGTTTGCAGAAAAATGAAAGTGTCAGGAAATTTTTCTCATTCTATCTATAACCTAATTAGCGCCAGTCCATAAAAAGAGAAATGATTAAACATTTCCTGTGTGGGTTTACTCATAAGTAGGCGACCACTACAAAGTCATATTGGCACTGATGAAATATTTTGGGTAATTAGCTCTCGAATTAGCTGACACTTCATAAGCTGATGGCTTCTGACAGTAAGGTTCAAGAAGATAATGGTTATATTTCTCTTCAATCAGTCACGAGACAAATTTCTTATGAAGATGAAGATGAAGAAGATTATGTTTCAATGAATTCCTTTATTGAGAAGTGAGTACAATGATACAGTAATATAACCTGACTATAATTGGGTCAACTTGTCTTCTCAGGGCTGACAAAGAGCAGATTAATCATGTTACATCCCCACCAGCTCTTCCTCCTTTCAACAGAGAAGTCCAAATGGTTTCTATGGCTAGATGCATTACTCCTCCACCATTGCCTCCTATACCTGCATCAAGAAGGCCTACACAAGAACACTCACATGCTGATAGGGCTACAAGATCCTTGACACCTTCAAGCCCAAATCCAAAACCAAAACCCAGATCAAGTCAGTCTAAACTACATTGTATCACGTGTAAATATAAAATATTTTTATGAACTTTATAGGAAGCACCATTGATTTAATAAAGGATAAAATTAGCATTAGAGTGAGTTTATAAAATTAATTATGATGAATATAATGTTGTAATAGGAAGCCAAAGGCTATAATCCTGTCTACGAGTCAATACATGACATGCCTTTTATACTCAATCATCATAGCAAATCACATTCCTTAGATGAGTCTGCATCACAAAAAGGAGCAGAGACTAGTCAAAACCATGCTCAAGATTTTGAAAGATTGCAGAAAGAATTGTTTCTATCGCAGAAGAGAGAAGAAGAGGTCTTGAAGAGAATTGACAGGCAAGATGAGAAGATTGATTTTCTTGAGAAAAGTTTAAACGAACTGAGAAATGATTTTCAAAGAATGCTATGTAAGTGTTAAAAAGGTTTTTTGTGTGTATTTATTTTTTTAAAGTGAGGTTTAATCAAGGAGAAAGAAGCTCACCTACTGCTACACTGATTGGCCCTACTCTTAAGCATCCTCCCTGTGATTTCTACATGAGTAATTTTTCACATCATCAGCATTTGGCTGGGAGTGAGTGGTACAGTGATCCATTTTACACTGGGACACAACAAGGATATAAGATGTGCCTACAGGTGAGATAGCTATGTTTGTTTGCTAATATCACAACTAGTTTTGTATGCTTCATTACTGGGAGAAAAAGTAAAATAAATAAAACAAAGCGAAAATAAAGCCACTATGATTACAAAGCATGTTGTTTTTTGTCATAGCCTTATGGAAGCATGATGACTGTGTTATTCAAAAAAAATTTTAAGAAGCTTCACATTCAGTAGTTTGCGGGGACTTTTTGTTATGTAAATATTTTAGTAGAAAGTTTAAGGAAGGAGGTGCAAAGGTTTAGCTGCAGCATTGTCCCTTCCTCATTTATTCATCAGCAAATTGATTCATAAAATAATGACCAGTAATAATTGCAATATACGATCTTCCTATGTAGATCTATCTATGCACCTCCTGCTAATATTTTCTCTTTTAGATTGTTGCTAATGGAATGGGGGCTTCAGCTGGAAAGGATGTCTCCATTTGTATCAAACTAATGAAAGGAGAATATGATGACTCCCTCTCCTTTCCGTTCTACGGGGACATCACTGTTCAAATTATCAACTATCTTGGTGATTTCAACCATGCAAAGCGGGTCATATCATTCAATAAGTCTGCAGCACAATATGGTGCCAGCAATCGCGTGCATCAGGAAACCTCAGAGTCTAGTGCAATGGCTGAGAAGGGATGGGGCATAGCAGCATTCCTTCCACACAGCTATCTCCCATACAATAACCAGAAGCAGACGGAGTTTGTCAAGAATGATACACTGACTGTTAGAATTGCAAGCATTGCATTAACTTCTGCCAACTAACTTCTGCCAAATAATTATTTTTTTAATATCTTATGTCATTTGACTCATTTCCTCCTTTACAATATTTTGTTTTTATGAATCATCCAGCAATTTTTTGTCAATTATAATAATTTTTATGCAAAAAAAACTTATATTGCATGGGTGTGGTCTAACTAACTCATGTGCTTTCATGATGAGCTCTGGCTGTCGTCTTCTTGTTCGTAAGCTCCCAAATTTCCTCAGACCGGAGGACAAGGAGAGCCTACTAAAGTTTTTTGGGGCAATTGAAGTCACTGTGATGTCTCAAAATGGAGCAATGGTAGGTATTAAAATATTTGAATAATTAATTAAAATTTTTTTATAACAGAGGAATTGTGCCTTTGCTACTTTTGCAAATCCAGCTGATGCCAGGATGGTACATTTATTAATTATTCATATTACTTTAATGATGTCTTGCTTTTACATGCATACACACAACTAGGCAATGATAAAGCTACACCAGTTGAATGTGTTCGGCTCTGTACTGATCGTCGTTTATGCTTCACCTCAATCAGAGAGAGAAGCTCCAATTGAAAACAGGTAATAGTAATACTGTGTGTTTCCAGTCATTAATTATCGTCCATGTATGCAGGTGGAGGGGAGACAAAGTTAGCACCAGTGACAAACCTCGCACAGAGTCAAATTTAAAATCATCTCCGAGCAGAAAAACAAGGTTACCAAATCTAAAAGCACAATACTTGATTGATTCATTTCTTTAATTTAGCCCCACTGCAATCCCTCAGCTTTCATACGAGTATCCTCCGCCCACGCAAACTATCATTGGCAATATCGCTCATGCTGTTGCAGCTGTTCCTCTTCTGTATACTCAAGTATTCATTTAACTTTAACTCAGTGACATCATGTCATTTTAGGTTCTTCATCTCATGAACAAGTTGAATCTTCCTTCACCTTTTGATCAGCCTCTCCCAGCACCTGATCTAGTAAGTGAGAGAGTAGTGACCATAACTAACTCTCTTTCTCTCTCTCTTTTCATTGCTTGATAGCCTTCAGGTAGGAGGAGAGACTTGGAGACTAGTGAATCAGAGTTGAGTAGCTCCACAGATGGAGAAGAAACAGAGAGAAAGAGTCTTGGTGGCAGAAGGTATGGCAGATTACACTTTAAACTCATTTGTCTGTGATTGGATTGCTACAGGGAAAGGCATTTTAAATTTGTATCCTTACATTTTCTTAAATTATTATTTTCCTTATCAACTTTATGCTAAAGTGGCAGTTGCCACTTTTGAGAGAGTTTTTGTATCCTACTAAGAATTCAAATTCTGTATGTGCTGTTGCTTCTGTTGTGTAGATTGAGCAGGAAAAGACGGAGGAAGATGCCTAAGAGAATGTCTGTTAGTTTTAAGCAGTTTAAAGAAGCAAAGCCAATAAAAGATAGTCACAACGGACAGGAAGCAACAGTGAGTCACCCCGTGTATAAATACCAAAAATTACCATGCTTGTGGTGTGTGCAGTCCCATGTGGTCTAGTGGTTAGGATCCGGCGCTCTCACCGCCGTGGCCGGGGTTCGATTCCCCGCATGGGAGTCCATTTCTTTTTTTTATCCCACTTTTTTGTTTTGAAATTTCTTTTTTTTCCACAGAAATTTCATAGAAGAATAGAAATCAAAGCTCCAGATCAGCTAAGACCTCCAGCAAATGACGCTTTGGTTATAGAGAATGTTTATACTTTTGCTGCAACACCAATCCAACAGGAAATGGAAACCAGTCAAGCAGCTCATGATGCCGAACTCAACATGCAAGGTAATGCAATTGTTTTGCCTAATTTTGGTGGTTAATTATTTTATAGAGGAAAGCCCTCTGGAAGAAGATTTTATTTCTTACGCTGAATTGCAATTAAATCGTATTTCGAATGAAGGTAGGTGGTTCTTTTTGTAAGCATAATATTTTTAAAGTTTTGACAGAGATGGAGCGCGATGATGGAGTATTTAAGAACTATAGCAAAGGAGAGCCATCGATGAGGCTGTATATTAAAAATCTTTCAAAACAAGCAACAGAAAAGGTAATAAAAATGGAGAATAATTTTTTCTAATTATGACCATTATTATAGCTATAGGAATTTTATTAAAATTTTTATGGCAACTTTAAAAATTCATAAAAAATCTAATTTTGATCGGAATCAGCTCAAACTTGCTACACAGCATAAGACCATGTATATGTATTAAAATGAATTATAAAAATGGAGAATTCTCTCCTAGTCATTTTTGGTGAAATTTGGCCAAAATCCCTGTACTATAGTACAGGGACTTTGGCCTGATTTTTTAGTAACTTTAAAAATTCGTAAAAAATTCATTGTTGATCGGAATCAGCTCAAACTTGGTACACAACATAAGAACAAGTATATGCATTAAAATAAATTATAAAAATGGAGAATTCTCTCCTAGTCATTTTTGACAAAATTTGGCCAAAATCCCTGTACTATAGTACAGGGACTTTGGCCTGATTTTTTAGTAACTTTAAAAATTCGTAAAAAATTCATTGTTGATCGGAATCAGCTCAAACTTGGTACACAACATAAGAACAAGTATATGCATTAAAATAAATTATAAAAATGGAGAATTCTCTCCTAGTCATTTTTGACAAAATTTGGCCAAAATCCCTGTACTATAGTACAGGGACTTTGGCCTGATTTTTGAGTAACTTTAAAAATTCGTAAAAAAATTCATTTTTGATCGGAATCAGCTCAAACTTGCTACACAACATAAGACCATGTATATGTATTAAAATAAATTATAAAAATGGAGGAATCTCTTCTAGTCATTTTTGGCAAAATTTAGATCTCGTATATGCATCAGAAAAAAAAATAATTTTTTCCTGGTGATTTTTGACAAAATACATGGCATGACTGATTTATAAATGGCACTCCTTATACATAGGACCTCACTCGTATTTATGGCCGTTACATCAACTGGTCATCTGAAGTAGAAAGACACAGGTACACAGTTTAAAAACATGTTGCTGCACATCTCTTCGTCTCCTTATCAGTTTTGATGTACGTGTGATGCAGCAAGGTCGAATGAAAGGTCAGGCATTCATAGGAATGCCAAATGAAGAAATAACATCAAAAGCTCTAGCTGATACTTTAGGATACAAACTATACGATAAGCCAATGGTTGTGGTAAGATTTAGTATTATATGTATCTCATTTGTCCATATCTTTCTCTTCTAGCAATTCGCTCGCTCAACAAAAGCTAAAGAAAAAGAGACTTGGCAGACTTGAAATAATGATAATAATGTTGTTTTTGTCAATAAAATAATTATTACTATTATTGTAAATAGTCACAATTATACTAACAATAATTTTATTAAGAAATAAAATAATCAAATTTTCATTCAATCAATCAATTGCATTTCTGTACATAGATATAAATGATCGGAGGATAGGACTTGATTAGGTTGAGGCCCCAGTCTCTCTAATGTACTGAAACTGGGTAGAGCCTCACGTCGAACAATGTGAAACCCTGAATTCCATCCGCTACTGGCATCTTTAACTGAGCACAAAATATAATCCACAGTCTCCGCAGCAGCTGTGTGATAAGTAGTGACAGAGGGTGATACGCTACCAGCCATTGGGAGAGGATAACAGGATTTAAATTTAAAAGGATGGGTAAGGACTGACTCTGGCTTATCATAAGAGCTGGGACAGAACCTTTTATGCAACGGAGGCTCGGTCTCTGGTCTAGCTTCATGAGTCTTTGTAGGAATCAAAGCATTGACACGCTTTCTGTCTTGAGGTGATTTCTCAACTGAAGCAGGATAAGACTTTGAGTGATTACTACTGATTTGATCAGGAGGTCTAGCATTAGGCATACATGTAGATAGTGAAGGAGTGCTGGTATTTGCAAATACTGATGTAGCAGAACTGATTTGCCTTGTAATAGAAAGACCACTAGGAGATTCAGTAACTCTCAATGGTGCAGTATCAAGTGGGTTAGCTGTATTCTCAGCTGTTTCTTCTTCTTCAATGTACTGACAGTTTGCTCCAATCCTCATTCCTGCATGAAGGAGGGGAGTGGGTATGTGCCTGTGTTTCGTTCCGGAGAATTTGACATAACCAGCAATGGTTGAAGCAGAGAGGCCAGTATAGTCTAGTCTACCTTCTAATAGGAATTTCATAAAATGAGAATTAGGTAGAGAATTGAAGTCGCCGCAAAGAATACAAGGAAGAAAGCCGTCGGTCTTAACCCGTCTGTGTGTGGAGGCCATCTTGTACAGTTCAGCAAGCAGGTAGCACATTTGTGCAAGCTTAACCTCCCCTGCTTTTGGATTGAATAAAATGTGAGTTGTTGCAACTAGGAACTCTCTCTTTTTGGAGGGACGTGATCTAAACTTAAATCTAGCAATGAGGCCCACATTATCACGACTTAGGCAACCTTGAAAATGCAAATAATAATTAATCATTTATAAAGGTATGCAATTATTTCGGGACTTACCTTTGTGCTTTTGATATTCGACATAATTCTTGTCAATCAATTCAAGACGGTGCTGGTTGTAGAATAAGGCACACCCATCCTTGTGGTCGCCAGTTCGCTTTAAAAATAATCCACGATATCCTAAAAATAGTAAAATATAATGTCTTTGTTGCGATTACAATAAAGGCACCATGCAGTTCTAGTTTTCTCTTGTACCAGTCATAGTAATGATCCTCGTAAACTTCTTGAAGACACAGCACCTAAATATAGTAACAACACAATCTAAATATAGTAACAATGTCTAAATATAGTAAAAACACAATCTATTATACTACAAAGTCTAATAGTAACAATTAATGGAATCTAAATATGGTAACACTCTAAATATAGCAGTATCACAAAATCTACATTACAATGATTATTCCTCACATCACATTCGCTGCTGATCAGTTCCTTCACAAGATTCATCTTCCTGTAATCCCAACTGAGCCAATCTGGAGGTGTTTTATCATAGAGGTACATGTTTTGAGATATGAGATCCTGCGAGAGAAGATTGTACGACAAAAGAGACAAGGAGGGATAGCGAAGACCATTGGGATCTCTCTTTGATCTGTTCACAGTTACTTCAGGTCGTGATGGAGGGCGATGGTGTCTAGAATTGACATCAACAACCTCTTTGAATTGGGCTCCAGTATTAGGAGCTAATTGAGTAGGGATTGGTACAGGGACAGCTTGAGTGAATGAAGTATGTTTAGGTAACTCGCATTTAGTTAAGCTTTGATAAAACCTGGGATCATTTGATGCAACACTCTGCTGATACGGTATCAGTCTGTGATCAGATGGTGTTACGCTGTGTTGATGTGGTGTCAACCTGTGATTAGTAAATGTACTATGAGGAGTTAATATCATTGGTATAGGAACAGCACAACGAGGGGGCTGCATGCCAAATACTGGAGGAAACCTTCCGCCAATCTGTGCGGGGAAAGAAGGAGAAGGGACAACAAAAGGAATGGCTGGATTGTTAGGAAATGGTGGTCTAGGGAACCTGCGATCCATGGCGTGGCCCCCTTTACTCAAAGTATTCCGAACTCTACTGGAAACCTTGTGAAAAAGAGCACAGACTGTACAGCACAAGTTTCTCATAAGAAACTTGCTGACTTGGACGCCATTTTGACAGTTGTCAGCTCATAGACACGCCTCTTTTGAGCCCTCCCACGCAAAAAGGTGGGGCTGGACTAGATGACCGGCTAGCTGCAAAAATGATAGTTGGTTTTCTTTGTTTTCTAATTGCCATTGGCTTTGTCGGAGCCCGTAAGTAACTTTATCCATAATCATGATATAGAGCTTTCTTTAGAGACTGAAACTTTCCGCTTTGCAAATTATTATGCTGACTCAATGGTCCTGCAGAGAGCTCCAGCAAGATTAGTACTATGGGGCTATGTGCCAGACTGCCGGTCGGTTAATGTGAATTATCCAGACTACAGCTTCAATGCTACACTGGAGAAGATACCAGGAAAAAGTAAAAGAGAATTTTGACTCTCTCTAAATCTAAAATTATCTTCATTTTAGCTTATTGTCGCTGGAAAATAGACCTACCACCTGCTAAAGCAGGAGGCCCATACACAATATCAGCAGTCAGTGGAAATGAGGGAATTGAGCTCAAAGATGTCCTTTTTGGGGATGTATGGGTCTGCAGTGGACAGAGCAACATGGTGTTTGAACTTTCAGAAGTAAGAGCAAATAAGCAATAAAGTAGATTATGATAATTTATTGTGCTTTTAGGTCTACAATGCAACCACTGAGATAGCAAATGCAGCCAGTTACACTAATATTAGAATACTCTCAGTCAACAGGGTTCCTTCCAATTCAACGTTAGATGAGCCACCTCTTACAGCACCTGCTTGGAACAAACCCAGCTCAAGTTAGTCTATATTCATCGGCACTTCTTCATTGTACCCAATTAGCTGCCATCAATTCATTCTCTGCTGTATGCTGGCTATATGGCCGTGACCTCTATGATACATATAAAGTTCCAATTGGTCTTATATCATCAGATTGGGGTGGAACATCAATTGATAAATGGTCTTCTCATGATGCTCTTGCAAAGTGCAAGTATGTAGACATTACATTTATGCATTTAAAAAATCTTTTAATTTATGATTATCAGGCAAACTGATGATGAAGTGAAAGCTGGTCTTTATCCTTCAAACTTGTGGAATGCAATGATCCATCCTTTTGTTAGGTTCCCAATATATGGAGCTATTTGGTATCAAGGAGAGGCCAATGCAAGACCAGGTCTATTATTATGAGTAACATTATTGTTATTATAATGACTGATAGATGAAGCAGATGCTTTGTATCGTTGCTATTTTGCCGAGATGATCAAGGATTGGAGGCTAAAATGGTACGAAGGAACAGATAAACAAACGAAAATAGATTTTCCATTTGGTTTTGTACAAGTAAGCAGAAAACTTTAATTTCTCCAATCTATGTGCATTACAAATACAGTTAGCTGCAGAAGGGACTGAAGGTAATAAATCAGCTGGCTATTTCCCAGGGCTCAGGTGGTCACAGACTGGAGGTCAAGGCTTTGTTCCTAATGAGCTGCTACCAAATGTCTTCATGGCTGTAGCTATGGATCTTGGTGATCCAACATCACCTCATGGAAGCATTCACCCAAGAGATAAGCAAGATGTTGCAATTAGACTAAGCAGAGCAGGCAGAGCCATTGCCTATGGAGACACTTCTCTCTACTATACTGGTCCTCTACCAGTCTCTGCAGCTATTACTGACCTAAGGGAGACAATATCAGCTAAAATCATGTACAGGAACGTGGAGGACAAGCTATACAGTTTCTCAAAGTATGGCTTTGAATTGTCCTGCAAGGAGAGAACCGGAAATACTGTTTCCTGGATAGAGGGCACCCTGGATACTGTAATGAATGATTATGTCACTGTATCATTTCCACGCTGTCCTGCTGGGGATGCTATTGGAGAGGAGATACGTTATGCCTGGAGACAGGATCCTTGTGTTTTCAAAAAGTGTGCCATCTACAGCGGAAGCGATTACCTCTTTCCATCTCCTCCATACATTATTCCTATTCGTGAACATGTTTGACTTGTACCTGCTGTGCTGTAACAGAGAAACAAGCTGACTGCTGCATTTTTCTGCTATGGTTTATATCTTTATTCATTGTTTGATAACAATAAAAATCTAAATTCATACGATTTGCATATAAGGAGTACAAACCGTGTTTATAGCTTTACAATCAGTAACAGTATCTATAAAAGGCAGCCATCAGATTAAATAATTTTTAAGCAGAGATAAAGCAGCAG